CAGATAGAAGGGACCCTAACACCGAACCCTGTGGGATATCGCATTCCACACCTGTGTGCTTGAACGGTTGAGGGCGTAGCCCACCCCTGTTGTGCGAAGGCGAACTTTGTTGCACGAAGAGGGTCGGTGGTGTGTGGCACACGTAGACGATCTGCTTTGTTTATGTTTCTCGCTTTGTGTCCAGCACGAAAATCGCTTGTTAACTGTCTCGAGCAACTATTTAGCGCCCGGCAGAGGGAAAAGGGAGAAAGGTCGAATTTTTGAAAATCATCCCAGCTACACTTCAGGGAATTCCTCACATTAATAATCCCGACGTGCTTGAAACTGTCACGACACGCAAAACGTCGTGATTCGGGAGGTTGCCAGTTGCCGGCGCAACTTGGCTGTCGCAGTTAGCCCAGTTTGTTTTTGTGTGGATGGCCGACTGGTGGACTGAGAGCAAAATTCCTGCACACCCCACTGTTGCAATCTCAAGCATTTGGACTTTCAGCAGCCCATCCTGTTCATGTAAGGTCCAGGCATGCCATGCGAGGGAGCAAGTCGCGTATATGACACGCGCAGTCGGGTTATTTACTTCCGTCATCCATTGTGCTTAATTCCCACATCAAATAGGCGGTCGATTAGAAAAGCGGACTGATGTCTGGGACCGCGAAGCGAGAGCGGAGTTGATTCTGAAGACTGTGTTTCCGTGATATTCAACTCATGTCTTTGCTATAAAAAATCTTACGCGTTTGAATATATCAAGATGCGTCAGGAGCCACAGCTTGGGACACTGTAAACAGACGGAATAACTCGGTCCTACTCACAGAACGAAATAAAACCTTAATAAGGCCTTTATAGCACTACCACTCAGTTGAGATAGTAGACGAGCAATTTTTGTTGTGAGAAAGCCCTGGTCTTTTTGTGTGCGAGCTGGCTTTGTTAGCCAATGCGTCTGATCCTCCCTGTGGCCTTCTTGAATTTATCTTAACGCCGACCCAAAAGAGGATAGGGAGGGGAGCATGCGGTAGACAAAACACAAGTCGGCCATCACTACCAATTAACTCAGTTGCAAATCACAGTCTCCACGCGCATCTCACCCAGGTGTTCCACACCTCGGGGTTGGGTGTTAGTGGATGACGAAGGCTAATAAGTCAGAAGTGGCCATTTCAGTCTTCCTTGTTTCGTTGGTAGAGTTATTCTGTATATGTTGTGTCCGTTATCCGCACTTCATCGGGAAGCCTGTTCCAGGCACCGATAACTCTCTGCTAAAACAGGTACCTACAAACATCCAGGTGATACCGGGCTACTCGGAGTTTGAGTTCCCCACGTAGGTTTATTGTTGTGGGCAAGCGAAGAAAAAATTTTCTTCGGTTGGACTTGAAAGACACGTTCCATCAAAGAAGTGTCGATAAAGCTTTTTACATTTGCCTGCTCTTTCGTTTTGAGCCGCACTGCGGCACATTTCTCAAGTTTAAACGTTAGCAGCCATTTCCAATGACGTACTATAATAACTTATTTTACTCACTTGTTGACCAAAATGTATACTTGCACCCATCGACCATGATTAACACACCCTGCTCCTACATGCCCTTCATAAGGCTGCTTTCCCTAATGAGAATTTTACTGCAGGTGCGGGTTTCCCGAACCTTCCCCGTCCATTCAGTTTCAGCAGCTAACTTCCTCTACTTCGTCCAGAATTGCACCTTTGTATGTACTATTGATTCAAGTGACCTATGAAAAAAGACTAAGCGCACAGGACGGCGGTATTTTTCTTGTTTCACATGAAAGGAGTTCTAATTTATTTTTTACATTTGATTGCCCAACCAGAACATTACGGTCTATAGTGTGTATACATTACCGTCTACTTACGCATCAATTTTTTGTCAGTGCCCTGGGGCGCTCAGAAATAAAAAATAACATTGTTGTCCTTGGGGCGAATACCAGAGGTTATGAGTTAGGGTCCCAGTTTTCTGCTGTCATCTTAAGCAAACAATGCTCTAACGCGACCGGTGAACCCAAAGCAGTTCAAGTGTGCCAGTCGATGATGAGAGCATTCAATTCCGCAACGACGAGAACATAATTAATCAAGGAGGATTTGTTCAGTTCGTTTGGGAGAAGGAAAACGGGTGGGCAGCCTGGCTTGGGTGACTATTTTCAACCGTAAATGCCAGTGGCGAGCGGACTTAGTGAATATACTAAAGGATAATTGAAGATAAACGTCTCACGTCCGGTATCGTAGGGTGTTGTTCGGAAAAAAAGGTTAAGTTAGTGAAAACCTAGACAGTGAGCAACCTACTTCAGCCTTTCCTGTCTCTTCTAAATCGTTGGTCATCTCCGATGCTAGTGAATCACAAGTGATTAACTACAAATTATTCAGCATTCTGAATGCGACGCTTGCTAGTTTACTTTAAGTGGACTGAAACAACAGTCCCACTTACGAATAGTAGCCTTATTCGTTGCTACAACCACATGGTAGTCACCTATAGTCTGGCCTGCCTTTTATTGCATATGACACGTCCAATAAGAAATGATCGCTTGATTATTTTTCGCAATCGATGTGACTACCAAACGTTATATGATGTCGTTTTATTTGTTAAGAACCAGCTGTGGAGGTAGCAGCTGGGACCGGGTCTGCCGAAATTTCAAGATTGCCGTTATTTGGTCTCTCTTCGAGAACGATTAGGTCTGCCTGTGTTCAGGAGACTGAGACGTGGGTTAGGAATTATTTCTTTCCCACGGGACTTACTATATAGTCGGTCCAGTGGAATATTTGACCTAGTTATACCTGTAAGTAAACTGTAGCTTGCCCAGATCTTGTGAAGGAGACGTTAGGCTTGTTTGTTAATAGTCAGACCTTAAAAGCAAGAAGCTGAACTAAGTTAATAACCAGCAGCTGAAGAGATAAACGTTAAAGTACGCTAACTAAGCGCAAACCTACCTGCTAAATTTTCCGAACAAGTTGGATGTTTAAGCGAACTTGAGTTGAGCTTGCAATAACACTTATGATTACTTTGATTGTCCTAAAAACCATTCCTCTTAAGGGTCCATAGGTGTGAAGTTGGCATTGCGATCAGCTGTTTATTTGTATCTTCTGTTTTTCCTAGATACGCTTGCTGTGCATTCTTTGACTATCGCATTTCGGTATATATTATTAACTGATTGCGACCGAATCCCAGTTTGTCGTAAATGTACGGTGCTTCCCACTGCCAACCACATCCTTTTAAGAGGCAATCTCAGCACACCTGCTATTCACATTCAACGTTCCCATTCCGATTCCAGCCTAAACATTACAAAGAGCAGAATTGAAAACTCAACACTTACAGAGAATAATAGCAGTATGCAGAAAGTGTCAAGAAGCATGCATGTTACACAGAAATCAGTTATTAACGGCGCCGTTTGCGCTTGTCTGGCCATTGAAGTCGCAATTATTGCTGACTAACATGCCCTGACTCACCACGTGTCGTACAGGCTAGCAAGATGTCTAGAAACCAACAATTTAGCATGTCCGTTCTATTTATAAGTTAAGTACAGGTAAACCGCAGATCACCGTGCTACAGCAGATTAGGCCGCCCGTAGACATTGTGAAAAAGCGTAACAAAATAAAATCATGGTTCCCGCAATTTCTTCATCATCTGGCCTGACGCTCAAGATATTCGTACTCGTGCTGAGGCGTTTTCATTACCACTTACCACTATTTATTATTTTAGGTACTTCTTGTTTGGTGTCGACCTTTTTACTGTCCATCAGTGCTGTCCATATACCTTGCCTTTACTGATTTAGTGAGTTGCATGTGAACGCACAAAATAACTAGACGACATTCTCAAAACTAATATTCAAACAGCAAAGCACATCTTAAAGCTTAGTAAACACTTAAACTGCGCGTGGGAGTCCATCTACTTCGACAACCCGCTATCTTATCCTAGCTCTTGTAAGATACTTTTAGGTGCTTAGCACCATTGACTTAACGATATGGTTTTAATTTCTTGTCGGTATGGCTCCAACTTATATCCTACATTCGGAGGTGTTTTGGCAGATTTTAAATAATTCACTTTGACCCAATCGTGAAAAAATCGGTGCCTCGGTGGGATTCGAACCCACGACAACAAGGGGAGGCCATAGTGCCGTCAGTGCTCTAACCATCTGGGCTACGAGGCCCCACCGGACGACGCGAGTTTAATCGCATTTGGGTCAAGTTTACCCGCCCAACATACAGCAATGTTTGGAAGCCACCAAATCTGATACAGTAAGCTGACTGTCCAAGCGGGATTTCCCAAGTAGTATATCCAGAATACACCAGATGACTCCCAGGCTCACGTAATTTGGTGTCCACCATACATATTTTCTGCTCTATCGACATTGAACTTTCTATCTCCCTTCAACACCAATGTTAAACGGTTTAAAGCGTATGGTTAGAACCTCTCCGCCCACAAAGATAACAACTAAGTGTTCGCCTAACTAATCAGGACCTTTAGCAGTCCCCTTCATAGTAACCGATTGAATGCAGCAAACAAAATTGTTATCAGGCGAGTCAAGTAGTTCCGACAGTCTGGAAGGTACTTGAGACACCAAATGTGGGCTTGATAAGTGAGAATGAAAGATGAAGCCCACCGCTCCGCTGATGGACAGTCTCTCCATTAGAAGATTGTTTCTTTATATCTAGAGACAGTAAACCATGGGTGTTTTTGGTAATTTTTTTGGGATAGACTTCGATAGGCGGCCGAAATTTTGGAAACGTTCTCTGGATGGGTTGCAATGCAATTGACAACCACGTTATGACATCGGATCTAGTTAGGTATGAATGCTTTTCTAAAAACGCTACAATTTGACTCTGTCTTGACGTCTCTCTCACTGTATTTCAGTGCGACATGTCGGAAACTTTGGCAACTCTAAAAAGACGGGCGTCCAGAAAGGTTGTGGAATTATACCAGCTCGAATGCACGACCGACACCGCCCCAAACGACACCAAAATCTTCGCATCAAAATACAAAATACGCGACATCCTGCTTGACCTTTTAGACATGCTTAAGCAGGTTGATGATGGTCTGACTTCCCCCGAGTCCGCTCTACTGTGGTCATTTTTCAACTTCAAGCTTGCAACCACTTTTATCGAGACCGAGGAGAGACAGAAAGGTACTTGATTTTCTGGCCACTAACCATTCTTTGAATTTGTTTTTTTATCAGCTATACTCGTGCCTTTTTTAGAAGCTTATTTTGACACGTTCGCTTTGGATTTTGCTCCTCTGCGGTCGTTGTTAAACAACAGCTCCGAAAATCTGCCTCGTCCACGAACAGACATTAGACATGCAATCTATCTTTCTAACGGGTTAACACTTCCAGACTGTTTTGACTGAAGTCATGTCGAAGGTGCTCATGTTCTCAGTTGAACCGTTCACAGGAAACACGATACCATTTCAGTCCTGCAGAGGTCTAACAAGGTCGCGCATTTTGCACACAATCGGTTGCGCGATCAAGAAAAAAGTTTGCTGCCCGGTCCAACCCCATCACAAGTGACAGTGCAGATTCTCACTGGCTTATCATTTTATGAAGTTGTGTGATGCTGCCTACTATCTATTCAAGCCTGAAGGCGCCCTGTGGTTCTGCAGGCTGTGATCGCGTGCCAAATATGGGAGTATTCATAGTTTTCTGGTGAAAAGGTTCATGTCTTTTTCACTTTTCCTCATATTACTTTCCAAAGACTGGTGTTCCTCACGGGCCTCCGATCCTTTGCAGACAAGATTCCTCCAGGCTTTTTCTATTGCTATGGCGCTAAGGTTTTAGTCAGTGACCAGTTACTTCCAACTTCATCATGATTTGATACCGTCTTTATTACCTATCTATGAGTTCCCGGTTGTTCATGTTTTGACGAGCTGTTTTTTTCGGGCAGAGATACTCCTATCAACGGTTTTTAATTCCACTCGGAAGTTAGCAACCAAACTAGTACGTAACTTTCTGTGGGCCGGACAGCATTCGTCTGGATTAAATTCTAAGTTAGATGTTTCTGCATATCTCAATTATGATGCCTGTCCCATCAACTGAACGCCGGGTACATGCACATGGTTATTTTCAATGATAGATCATAATTTCCTTGCTTAGGACGTCAAAAACTGCGCGAAATTCTGTCTACCCTGCAGTCCAGACCCACACTGGCAGGATGTTTCCAGGCGATCGAAACCCTTGCTGCCTCTACTGAGACAACGCGGCCTGAATTAGACGACGTCATTGCTTCCCTCCCACGCTCCGATCTACAAACTTTTGCCGGTCTGTTGCAGTCTTGTTTCAACTCCCTAGCTGTCGTCTCGGCGCCCTCTTCACACCAACCCGACGCGAAGGAAGAGGCAAGACCGGACACCGATACCGAGTCAACGGCTCTCTACTGGCTTCGTAGAGCAGAGGCAGTCTTCCAGATCTACTTCCGCCTCTTTGGGGGTCACATTCAAGACAATGCACCCGAGTGTTGGGAGAGTCTGGGCTTTTTTGACAGCCTTGATGCCAGCAATCCCACTGGGAGAGACACGATCGAGCTGGTCAAAGAGCTCATGTTTGAAACAGGCTACACGACCACTCTATTCATGCTCGCTCAGGTAGGCTTTTGGTGACGACCTTGTTTTTACTTTTAACTGCTCATAGCGAGTGGGTTGTCTCTTGACTCCTTATCCTTTCTAAACCATCATCAAATGTTGACACTGAGGCGAATCTTCTTGCACACGCCCGTACTTACTAGGGTAGAACAAATATCGACTGATTGAACGTCGATATAACCCTGTTACTGATATTGTTTAAGTAGCACTCATGTTATACATGGTTTTGACGGGAGACATGGAAGCATTTGGCCATTGTCTCTGGTCCCATGTTGCCGGGGCAAATAAAAAAACATCTACAGTTTTTTTTGCAGCGACGTGAACTTTACTTTTACTTTAGGGAGCCTATTCAATCGCTGAAATATTGGCTGTGTGAAAAAGCCAGATCGACTCGATTGCATCGAGTGCTCATGGAGGTGAGGTGGAGGGGACTGCGGAAAAATACCGTCGGGGCGCAGCCCTTCTTCAAGACCATGTGTGGTCAGAATAGGATGGTGCCTTTCTGTCTGTAACTCGAAGAAGATTGGTTAGGCCACTTTAGTCTTTCGAGGTGTCAAATCTTTCACCAATTTGGTCGCGCGACGCTACATTTTCTCAAACTCTTTCGTGCTTTTTCCGAGCCTCAACGTCTATGCTGGTAACCCATACTCCATGTAATGACGAGCAACTGTACCGTAGACCTTCTGAAAAAGGGGGCGTGTGCAGTCACCTTTAGTGCTCACAAGGGTCAGGTGAGAGGAGGTACCCCTGTAAAATCATCTAAAATGACGTAAGGTTAAGGGACCTTATTTGTTCTTTCGTCCAGCACTTCGTTTTCCTAAGACTTTTTTCTGTCAAGGACCCCATGCCTGTATGCCTGTCGTGAATTTTTCCGGAAGTTGTTTTTGGAAGGCTATAAATCCTCCCCTGACTGTGTGGCCAATGCTTCGTAATTTTTTAGCAGGCTGTGCCAAAGTGATTCAACCGGTCAAGAAGGTAAGTGCAAACGATCCATGTGACCGTCAGGGTGGGAGACAAGACCCTACTTTTCGCACCTCTGTTCTACGGCTTGTCAGGGATCCGATCGGAGCTGATCTTATCAACTCGCAGCAAGCCGGCACGCGACAGGATTGGCAATAGCTACTCCACTCTTGATTGTTTTGTCTCCAACACCGCTGGATCTGGAAGAGCCCTATAGGTCGTATTTTTCGCTGCTCTCCAAAAAACGTCCTGCTTTTTAGGATGTTTGTCTACTTTTTACTGCTCTTGTCGTCCCAGACACTGAGCGTGCAACTCTCCGTTTGCGTGGATTTAATCATTTTATCCTTTTTTTTTCACCTAACCAGGCTTACTCCAATGACGATGAAAGGGCAGAAGCGGCCAAATACTGTCAACAGACGCTACAACGCCAGCTGCAATTTGCTGAACGCACTGAGACTCTGCTTACTCGCCTTGGCGTGGAGAACCACAAGGCAGCTAGTACGGACGGCGACACGGTGGCGGTACCGCCCAGTGATTGGCTAGTCTCCTCCGTGGTTCGAATCGACCCAGTTGAGTGGGCAACCAATGCCTCCACCCTGGGCGAATACTATCTGGCCTGTGGTCAATACGAAGCCACTTTGGAATGTCTCCTGTCAGCATGGACGTAAGTGCAGCATAGCCAAGTAATCCTGCTTCCGTGTCTGATCCGATAGCAAAGATTTCCTGCGCTCGATCCAAACTTTTTACCCCTTCACTTTCGCCATAGGCCCACCGAAACGGCCACCTATGACATATTTTCCGTTAATTTCGCCCATGCTTACATATCAGGCCTTAATTGAAATAATATTTCCGCAGAATGAATTTAAAGCAAGCAAGGACAACAGAATTTATTGAAACCGTTAAATTTCGCGACGGCTTATCAACTGCAGCCTGTCGTTGCATAACACAGATAACAAGTGAGAAAGATACAGCGGTTTGAACTTCGACAGAGAAAAAGTCAATGTAAAACAGCAAGTTCATCGTATACTTCGCGTAGACTAGTCAATAAAATGTTAACTTCAAAAGGCAACACAGGAAAGAAAATGGGGAGGCAAACACGCCGAGGGATTTCATAAATCAAAAGGGCTCAGGTCTACCAGGGCAAGCTGAGGTTGACCACGTGGTCTAACTGTTTACATAGGTCGGGTTTCTCGTGCCGTATGTAGGCTGCCTCCAGGTAGCGCAATAACCGCGTAGTTATTGCTCGAACGAATACTCGAAAAGACGTTTTGGGGTCAACCGAATGGCCACAATCAAGGCGATGTTTTGTAATAGAAGACCGTGGAGTCTTGTTCTCCTGCTTTAGAAGCCATTTAGGCAGGTGGTCAACGGCCCTGGCTGCCGGTTGCCTTTGCGTTCACCCAATGTACTTGCATCCACAAGTGCATGTAAATTCGTAAACACAATTTGACGTGGCGTGAAATGTCAAGGCATCCTTCCTCCGTGGAACTTCGATGGCCTTAGTAGGACTGCAGAAGATGAGTTCAGCTGAGTTGTAAGTTCTTTCAATAGCGCATCTCAATCGCCGCTTGATGGTATTAGAGATGTTATCGCCCTTAAAGGGTAAGGATATTATAACGGGCTTTTTCGGAACTGATTTCTCCATCAATTTTGGCCGTAAAGTGTTGCTGTACTTTTCAGTGAATCGTGTTGGATATCCCCGTTTAAGCAGGGCTGTTTTGATGCAAGAAATTTCATCATCCAGCCTTTCAATAGAGCAAATGTTTCTTGCTCTTTGGAATAGAGTATAAACCAAATTTTGCTTTCGTTGTATTGGCTCAAAGCTCAAGAAGTGCAGGTATTGGCCTTTCCACGTGTCTTTATGGGAAACAGACCGCCTTATTGAACCATCTTCCTGTCTAGTCATGAGGACATCCAGGGAAGAAAGCTTGTTGCACTGCTCCTTCTCCATTGTGAATCTAATCTTAGGATGGAAACTGTTCATGGCAACAAGTAGGTCTTCGGCTTCATCTTCGTTATCAACAATAGCAAAAATGTCGTCTACATATCTTTTGTACAGTGTTTTCTTATTCAATTTTGCTGGGAACTTTTCTTCTAAGTGACCCATAAAAATGTCGGCAAGGGATGGACCAAGTCGACTTCCCGTTGCCACTCCATCAGTTTGTCTGTATAGCTGTCCATTGAACAGAAATTGAACGTTTTTTGCGCAAAGTTTCAACATGTCACGTAATTTTTCGGGTGAAAGGCGGGTTTCAGACGCATGGGCGCATATGATATCGATTGCGTCATCGAGTGGTACATTTGTGAATAGTGATACAACGTCCAAGGATATCATGGTTTTGTTGGAAATGTTCTGATGCTTTATTTCTTTAATAGAATGGAAACTGTCTTTTACTGACTGTTTGTCGTGAGCCAGCCTAGTAGGGTTTTAGTCGGAAGGAACGCTCCTCCATCGATTACCACAATTCGTAAACGACGTCGACTGCTCCCAGGATTTCCGAAGCTGAACGGAACGTAGGTATTCCTTCCCAAGAGCCGGCGAAATTGTTACACAAAAGTTAAGTGTTGGCAGATTAAAATTTTCAGTGGTCCGAGTCATGCCTTCCACGCGGGAGTTCCGTAGTCCGTCCTCGTTTTGTATTTATTGTACTTAATTGTATCGTTCCTATCCTACAGCGTTCTGGAAGATCCACAGTTGAAGCACTGCCTGAAAT